AGTGTGTCGCACTAGGCTCACGTCTACAAACTCTACTTTTAACTAAAAAACCCAAACAAACCAAAAGCCCCAAACCACACGCACACGTCCTCGTGTGTGCTGGGGTTTGCCAGCTGCCGCCACGTCTGTAAGCACACGCGTGTCCGCGGGGCCAGGTGCACGGGTGGTGGTGGTGCGGGTTCGGGAACAAGTAATGTTTCTAGACAGGATTTCTGGTTTGGTGGGTGAAGGCGTATGCAGGCGCTGGGGGGGCGGAAGAGAAGGGCGCAGCAGTGTCCTTGGTGGGGCGCAGCGGGGAGATGCCCGGGTCAGGCCGCACCGCCGTCTCCCTCGCCTGGGGCGCCGAGGGCATTCCCTGGCCTTTCGGAGAAGCCGGCCGGTGGGTCGCCCACAGCGGTGGTCCAGGCGCCGTGGCCGCGCCGTCTCTGACCTACGGTCTAGAGGGTGGATTTGTAGAGGACGGCTGGGACGCGGCTGATGCTGCCTCGGGCCGAGGGTTGGACCAGACACGACCTCTGGAGCTCCCTGGCAGCTCCCGGCTTCGCACTCCGGCTAGAAGGGACCGCGCAGCTGTAAGAAGAGCCAACCCGCTCTAAAGGCGGCACGTGGAGACGTGTAGCAGCTCTAGGGATGGTTTCTATCCGGTTTTAATCCGAACACGTAGCAGTTGCGGTGCGATTACCAGTGTGGACAGAGCTAAGTGCGCGGCGCTGGTCCCAAGCAAGAACACCTGGGGGGGCGGGAAAGGGCGACGGCGACGGGACTCCATCCCCTGCAGCAAAATCGCCCCTGCTCCGCCCAGCATGGGCCAGGTCTTGGACACGGGCTTGTTAAAGGCCCCTGGTCGCTGACCATGGAGCAGCGGTACTGAAGTCCGCATCCCACAGCGAAGATGGTTTCCTGCACTCACTCGCTCTCAAACTTTTTGGACTCGAGGCACCCCGGGAAGATGCCAGCTCTTCCTTTTCACTCTTTTTTGCCTGCAGAAAAATAAGAGAGCTGTTTTTTTTCTGGTGCAAAGACATCAGAAAGCACAGCTGTGGATTTGCTTGAGATCTCTGGGTTGCGTGGCCCCCCCTGGACGGATCTCAAGGTACCCCAGGCTGCTTTGCACTCACTGAGCATCACCGCTCCAGCTGGTCCCGTTACCTCACCTGCAGGTTTCCCATCTGTCCGCTCTCTAGCCTGCTCCTGCCTTGCTCTTCCCATCTGTTCTGAAGCCCAGGGGCCACCTCAACTCCCACCTCTCTCAACTCACTCGGACACCATCCACCGCCCCAGGTGGAAGGGCGTGGAAAGATTTCACCTATTAAAACGTATGTTCAGTGGTGCTCCCCATCTCCGCCAAGGTACAAAGAGACAGGTGTGAGCTTGTTTGTTCAGTACCTAGCACAGTAGAGCCCTAATCCAGACTGGGGTCTCTGCACTAGTGCGGCGTGAATAATAACACCCTTGTATTTGCCTTGTTGTTGATATCATTCAATCATAACCATTTAAAACTAAATTATAGAATTTTAATTTAAAATTAGTTCTATACATGTCACTTGATACAAACAACATACATTGGGAGCATACTGTATGCCGGATAATGTGCCATTCATAGCAAGATGTACACACAACCATTCAAGGAGGATACAACTGGTGCGCGTTTCCGCATACTGTAGCAAAACAAAAGCTTTTCTGTAGGCAAAATTTGATTTCAAATGGAAAAAAACATTACAAAATATACATGCTTGTGCTGCTTAGGGTTAGAGTTGGCAACCAAACAGAACTACCTTAGAGATCATTTTAAAAAGTACGAGTTGTTAGTCCATTTGACATAAAACAAAGAGATGTTTGAAGCAATGCTTTAAATCGCCAATGGCAAATGCTTGAAATGGAGCATCAGACTGTACTGGCAGTTACCGAGTTGGCACGTGCCCTGACAGGGACAAGTCTAGCTCATACAAAAACAAGAGCAGGGAGGTGGAAAGAATTACCGCAGCAGGACAATGCGAAGGCCCAGTCTTGCAAACACCTAAGCACACCAGCTGCATAACACTATGCAAAGTGAGGACTGTAGGTATGTGCTCAAGTATACGTAGAATGACAGCTTACGTGTTCGGGACCCAACATCAGGAGCCCTTGAGATTTTATACTGAAAAATAAGGCAAGAAAAGCACTTGATTCTATTTGGGACGCTGCATTACAGCTAAAAATAGGGCTTTGGTTTTTATCACCACTCTCAACGTTGGTGTACTGCAGGCCTTGAACTCCACCAGAACCAGCCACTTCAATCTAGTCTTAAATATCCCAGTGCAGGACAGCAATACCAGAATGGTAGTTTTGTGCTATTGTACACAGTGGTCGTCAAGTCAGAAAAGGATTGTTCACAAAATAACAAGGTACATCGTCTAGTGAAATTCCTAAATCTAGTACTGTACACTTACATTGTTTCCAGCCCCAGGACTGGACACTGATTCAGCATGAAGCCGGTCAATACAGGGTCACAGTTGAGCAACTTATTTAGGACGTGTACAACAAAAAAGGAAACAAGTCAGAAGAAGTATGAAAAGTCCTTTTTGGATTAGACAGCAGTTTCCTTCCCCTTTATAACACAGCCATGAATCTGTAAGCTCTGTGCCACTTTTGGGAATGAGTAATGTATTCAAACAGGTTACGTTCATTAACAAGACAGCAGTGCTGAGCTACATTAAGTTTTACGCGTTCTGGTTTTTTCCTAATGAGACAGAAAGCTTCAGCCAATCTTTAAAAATTTAAGATCAATTTAAATATGCTGATGATACCTGCTGGAGGGGGGAGGGAAAGGTTTAGAGGAAATGGCTCATTTTTCACGGTGCCATGGGTCAGCCATTTCGACCGTCCTCGGTGGGCATGCCTACATTCCAGAACACATCAAGCAGCACAACCAGAAATCAGACATGGGATGTGCGGTTAGCTGGGTGTAGCCACCACACTAGGGCAGAAGCCACATATTGGTCTCCCCCTTTCAGCTTTGCTGCATTTTCACGTGTCCAGGTAGGTTCTGACATGACAAAGTTGATGTCTTTGGTGACCATAGTACCCAGAAGGCAAACACATGACAAAAGAACCAACAGGCAATACAGTGCTCACAGGATACAGACACCAGAACCTGGCAATTTTGGGGGTTGCCAAAGGGCAAGAGTGAGAGGTCCTACCCAGCCTTATGAGAAGTGTGCCCAGTGCTGGTCTGGGCTAGGGTAATGAGGTACAAACACCCCTTTTTCCAAGTGTGTACACACACACACACAGGATATGGCGCTGCAAGACATGAAGTCACAGGAATGCCATTTGTCAAGACAGATCTCATCTCATCACCCTGGTAGTTCAGTTTCCATGAAGAGACAGTACTACAGCAACAACACATTCTTTTGATTACCAAGGGACGCAAGTGTTCCTGCTCAACCACACATCTCTCCCCCGCTCT